CATTTTTTCGATAAACCTGATAACTCGAGTTGAAAACAATATTTGAATTTCAATCAATAACTACAAAAATAATTATAAAACATATAAATTTTACATGAAAAATATGCATATTTAAGTTAAAGAGATTTTTAAACAATAGATGAAATCGTTTGACCTACTTTCGAGTAGTTCTAATAAAAAAAGGGAACATATTTATTATGTATTTGAATCTTTTTTTGAATTTTTATCTCTGCAGATGATCACGATGATTATTTGATAAAATTATGAAATTTCAACTATAAAATCTAAGAATTTTGTCTTTTTAATATTTTATTTATTACAATTATGAAATTGAAACATTTACTATAAAAAAGTCTCAATAAAATTAAGAAACTGAATTTTTTTACTTTAAAATCTTAGAAATTTGTCTTTTAAACTTTTACTATAAGAAAACAGAAAAAAAATTCAATAAAATTAAGAAATTTTTTAGTTTACAATCTTAGAAATTAAGAAACTGCATTTTTTTTACTTTAAAATCTTAGAATTTTGTCTCTCTCTCAATGAAATTAAGAAATTTTTTAGTTTAAAATCTTAGAAATTTGTCTTTTTAATATCTTATTTAATACAATTATGAAATTGAAACATTTACTACAAAAAAATCAAAAACAGAAAAAAATCTCAATAAAATTAAGAAATTTTTTAGTTTAAAATCTTATAAATTTGTCTTTTTAATATTTTATTTAATACAATTATGAATTTGAAACTTTTACTATAAAAAATATACAGAAAAAAAATACTCACAAGTAAATTAAGAAATTGAAACTTTTACAATAAAAAGACAGAAAAAATGTATGAATAAAATTGAAAAATTGCAACTTTTTAGTTTAAAATGAAGAAATTGAAACTTTTACAATAAAGACAGAAAAAAAAACAATAAATAAAATTGAAAAATTGCATCTTTTTAGTTTAAAATCTGAAAAAATTGTCTTTTAAATTTTATTTGTTACAATTAAGAAATTGAAACTTTTACAATAAAAAGACAGAAAAATGTATAAATAAAATTGAAAAATTGCAACTTTTTAGTTTAAAATTAAGAAATTGATACTTTAACAATAAAAAGACAGAAAAAATGTATAAATAAAATTGCAACTTTTTAGTTTAAAATCTTAGAAATTTGTATTTTTAATATTTTATTTATTACAACTATGAAATTGAAACATTTACTATAAAAAATATACAGAAGAAAAACTCACAACTAAATTGAGAAATTGCAACTTTTTCAGTTTAAAATCTTAGAAATTGGTCTTTTTAATATTTTATTTATTACAATTGTGAAATTAAAACTTTTACTATAAAAATACAGAAAAAATCTAAATAAAATTAAGAAATTTTTTAGTTTAAAATCTTAGAAATTTGTCTTTTTAATATTTTATTTATTACAATTATTAAATTGATACATTTTCTATAAAAAGACAGACAAAAATCTGTCAATAAAATTGAAAAATTGCAACTTTTTCAGTTTAAAATCTTATATTATTACAGCAATAATTGTAAATATAAATTTACTTTAAAATCTTCCAAAAATATTAAGTGTTTTTCAATATTTCCAACGATATTGTTTGATTTATTCTCATAATTAACGTAATATTGCTGCACTGTTTATATGTATAATGACTATTTTCACTATTCATCAATTAAATCAAAGCTGTAACGTTTCGAGTTATGAAATTTAAATATTTATCTACACGTTATTTACTTGTTTGCTCATTTAAATTTGATTGGGAAAAACATAACAGGTAATCATTACATAGAGAAAACAAAATCGTTTAAATTATATATTTTTCCTCGGATTTACCAGATCGAAGCGAAAGAAGTAGCTGTATCAAAATTACCAATGCATTTATTCAAAAGACAATGTATTTCAATACGATTTCCACTCACGTTTTCCATCAGGGGAAACCCCGTGAATTTTCTTCAAACCATACGTAATTCCAGTGTTGATCCAAAAATGGTACGGATTCGAATTGAATCGAAAGAGTAAACACTGATAAGCGCGCAAGAGATTATCTGTTTTATTTTGTTTTGTTTTGTTTTGGGGGATCCTTTGAAAACAAGTTTGTGTGCACGAAACGAGACTCTCTTAGTCTTGTTGTTGCTGCTGCTACTGGTCGCGCGTTATTTATAAAAATTTCACATTTTTGTGTGTTGCGTCTCCTTTCGCATTCGTTCCGCACGTTTCGTGGACGACGCACGTCTGTCACGATGAATTACCTCTTCTGTTTATCCGCGCTCTTCCTCTGTTCGACGACCTCGACGACGACAAACGGTGAGTTTGTGCTTAAACCTAAATTTGTTAACTCACAATCGCAGCGAAGTTTATCGCGTGACCTATGACTTCTGTATAGAAAAAACATGTGAGTGTGTCAGAGAGAAATGCGTTGTTTACCTTGGATGAGGATAAAAAAAAAGGACATCAATTATTGACGGTCCATTAAAAACCAGTTTTGGGATTTTCAATTTTTTTATGTTCAGACAAAGGATTTAGTTGGCGTGGGGTGGATTTAATCTCTTTTGTTTTTTTTTCAGCTGAGACCTGCAGGACTCCAAATGGAGAGACCGCTGAATGCGTTCCTCTTCACTCGTGCGCCGTCCTTCACGACGCTCTCTACGATTTAGTGAAGGTATCGGATCCGAGCACCGTCGACTTCCTCAGGGAATCCCAATGCGGTGGAAGCGGGCAAGATGATCCCAAGGTCTGCTGCGGTACGACGGCCGCTTTTCAGACGTTGCGGACGGAGGCGCCGCGACGTCCGCAATCCGTCGACGTCTCGCTGAGTTCCAGGTTCGGAGATGTTGGCAGTCCGATCGCAGGAAGGGACGTCTGCGGTTACATGGTAAACTAATCTTTGTTTTGGACAATGTCCTTCATTTTCGAACCCTCAGGTTGCTCAAGACAGGATCCTTTCCGGGATAATCACGGGGATCGATGAGTTCCCTTGGATGGCTCTGCTGGAGTACGTGAAGAAGTCCGATGGTACTCGTACATTTTACTGCGGAGGATCGTTGATTGGGAAGAGGTACATCTTGACCGCAGCCCACTGCGTTTCCGGGAAAACCATGAACACGCATCGATTGTAAGTATTCAATATTCATGCAATCATAATTGCAACTTATTATTAACTTTCTAAAAAAAAAACTATATTTTCTTAACGGTAAGAAAATTTATGCTAATCTTCATAATCAAAACATTTTGAAGAAGATTGACTTAAGTCATTTTTATAGAATTTGTTTACTTACTAAAGTTAACTACAAACTTATGAATAATACTTAACACTACTTTCTAGTGATTCTTAATAACTTAGAAAATTGTCTATAAATTAATGAAATTCTATAATTTTTCCATAAGTTGAAAAATTTAAGAAATTTTAACGAAATTTAAAACATATTTGTTTAAAATGATTCTTAAATTTTTGATTAATCAATGCAAAAAAAATGTTTGTTTACTCGAATATTTATTCTATTTATTTACTAATCTTTGTAGAATTAGTTCACTTTATTAGTGTATAAGTAATACAGTGAATTCAGATATTGTAATGATATATTATTTTTTAATGTTTTGTGAAAAGTTAGCTTTGATTTCCAGAAGAAGTTCACAATATTGCAAAGATAACTTTTTGGTGATGAAATTGGAAAATTATCAAAATCCAATTATTACACTTTCTAAACAAATCCATTCTTCTGCAAATAAATCAAGCTTACTTAAACTTTTTAAAACTAAGGTTTTCATCATTCGATGAGACACATTTTAGTTAATGAAAATCTTAAAGTAATTACAATGATGTTCTTATTTCATTTCAAGATAAAGCAAAGAAAATCATCAATTTTTCTAAATTTTCGTATGAAAACAGATAAAGTCTTCATTCAATTATTGTAAAGCAATGAAGAATTTGCAAAATTAATGTTTTTTCATTCAATTATTTTCAATCAATGATAAAACCATGAAAGAATGTTTCAGTAAGTGTAAATTCTTGTTTTGCCTGAAAATTATGAGTAATTATTTGGAAATTTGCAATTTCCTACTCAACTTTTATTGAACTGAAATTGTTATGTTCAAAGTTTTGCTTCGATGAAGAATTTACAAAAGCAATGATTTTTATTTCAATTATTTTACAGTTTCAATAAGTGCATATTCTTGTTTTCGTTAAAATTAGGAACAATTATATGAAAATTTGCATTTTCTTAGCTAATTTTTATTGAACTGAAATTGTTATGTTCAAAGTTTTGTTTCTATGAAGAATTTACAAAATCAATGATGTTTATTTCAATTATTTTATAGTTTCATTAAGTGCATATTCTTGATTTCGTTAAAATTAGGAATAATTATATGAATATTTGCATTTTCTTAGCTAATTTTTATTGAACTGAAATTGTTATGTTCAAAAAGTTTTGCTTCGATGAAGAATTTACAAAATCAATGATGGTTATTTCAATTATTTTACAGTTTTTGCATTTTATTAGCTAATTTTTATTGAACTGAAATTGTTATGTTGAAAGTTTTGCTTTGATGAAGAATTTGCAAAATTAATGTTGTTTCTTTCAATTATTTTCAATTAGTGATAAAACTATGAAAGAATGTTTCAGTAAGTATAAATTCTTGTTTTGTCTTAAAATTATGAGTAATTATTTGGAAATTTTCAATTTCCTACTCAACTTTTATTGAATTGAAATTGTTAAGTTGTGAAGAATTTACAAAATCAATGGTGTTTATTTCACTTATTTTAAGGTTTCAATAAGTGCATAATATTGTTTTCGTTAAAATTAGGAATAATTATATGAAAATTTGCATTTTCTTAGCTAATTTTTATTAAACTGAAATTGTTATGTTTAAAGTTTTGCTTCATTATGTTCAAAGTTTTGCTTCGATGAAGAATTTACAAAATCAATGATGTTTATTTCAATTATTTTACA